TAACTAAGATGTAACACATGGGGTAACTATGACTTAACATACGGTGGAACTACGATGTAACACATGGGGTAACTATGATGTAACACAGGGGGTAATTACGATGAAACACACGGGGTACTTATGATGTAACGCACATTAATTTCATGTAACACATGGGGTCACAATGAAACACACGGGGTACTTATGATGTAACACACGGGGTAACTATGATTTACCACATGGAGTAATTATGATGTAACACATGGAGTAATTATTATGTAATGCACGGAGTAATTATGATGCAACACATGGAGTAATTATGATGTACTGTATGTAGTAATTATGATGTAACACATGGAGTAATTATGATGTACTGTATGTAGTAATTATGATGCAACACATGGAGTAATTATGATGTACTGTATGTAGTAATTATGATGTAACGCACGGGGTAATTATGTTGTAACACATGGGGTAATTATGATGTAACACATGGGGTAATTACAATGTAACATACAGGGTAATTAAGATCCAACAGGCAGGCCTGAGCAGAAAATGTCCCTGACTTTTGATATTATTGGTGCAAATGATAGTTTTAAAGTAGATCCTTCAGCTGAGATTAAGTTTTCCACTTGTAGTCTCCTACTCAATCCATGAGAACATTATGACAAATTCACTGTTTTGCCAACTGAGCTGCTTCACAAATCCTTAAATAAGAAAAAAAGTTATGCACCTATAACTGTAATTTATTGTTTTAAATAGATATTTACAGATGACTAAATCCTTTTAGCTGAAACAATCAATAAAATGTAGATTTGCATGGCAGCTCATGTTGATTTAGGTGTATTCTGGAAGCCTGCAGGTCCTCAAGCTGCTGGAGGAGAGCATCTTTTTCCAGCTCTAACAAGGAGATCTGATGATTCTTGTCACTCACTTTCTATTAAGGGACAAATGCAAAGAAACACAAACATTAAAAACAATTCTGAGCCAATGAAGAACAAGAAAATATTGGAATAATATAAATCTGGTTGTCAAAAGCTGAATAGTATGAATATATGGAACCTCATTAAAAGTCTTTGCCTTTTCTTTACCTGAGTTAAGACAGTGTTGTGCCACCGGAGGTCACTGTCTACCACGGCATCGAAAACACACGGATTTCTGCTGACGTTGGGTTCACTCATAACAGAACCAAGAGAACCATTAACCCGCTGGATCTGAGATCTGAGGAGGCAGGACCGCGCCTGTGGAGAGTCAAACTTCTTTAAAGAATCTGTAATCAACATTTTAGGGTCTGACTCTGAAACTTTTCATTGCAACTGTAACTGACAGTATTTCTCTATTTTGCGGTATATTCTGAGTACCTCGGCTGCTTCATTCTGGTAGCTGCATGATCCACTTCTGCTCTCGCTGTCCCATCGGGCCCAGTTCTCCTCGAGCCGCTGGAGGTACCAGAGCCGACCCCTGTCCAAGATCTCCAGTCCAGACCACAGGGCGTCCTTCTCCTTTTCCAAGTCTTTCAGACGTTTGATCTGAAATAAGACGTTGCATTTACATTGTTTTTGACAATATTAACAGGTTTACTATGAAAGTACGTGTTGAACACACATCTTTATAGTGGGTAAAACGAGGTTTATGACCAGCCTGGTTTTGAGCAGTGTGATCAGCACCAGTAGTTGTTGTGTTGTAACTGCATTGAGATTGGGGCCTTCAGTTCTATTATCTACAGTCACCTCGCACGCTTTGAACAATGACAACACCAGAAACTCCTTTTGTGAGAGGGGGATTCATTTGTACATTTATTTTATGTCACAACAAATTGTCCAAGAAAATATTAGCAACACGAGTCACATCAGGTAGATTTATAGCCACTGCAGCTACATTAGCAAACACAAAAATGGCTAAAACTCAGTTTCACAATGAGCTAGAATTTAGTGTAATAGTAGCTGAGAGCCTTCCACAACACAAACTCTGAGCACTTTACATTGTGTGCCATCTTTAGGCCTGTCACGATAACAAATTTTACTGGGCGATTAATTGTCTCAGAAATTATTGCGATAAACGATAATATTGTTTGAAATTTGACAATAATTAGTAATGTCAAATTTAAGAAGAAATGTTGGTTAATTTTTGTGTGTAGTGCTTTTTTGACCACTAGATGGCAGTATAAGACTGTCTGAACCGAAGGATGGATAGTGAGGGAGCGAGCAGCGTGTCTCTTTAAGAAAAATAGGAGTTAAAATGGAGAAAAGAGAAAGGGAGGGGTCAGTGTAGAGCACCGGAGTTGAGCCTTTTGTCATCTGGTGTCTTCAATAGAAAGAGAGAGACACGAAGAAATGATAAAGCCGATAAATGAAAATGAGGTCAATAATTTTAATTTATCATGCGATTAATTGATTTATTGTTTATTGCGACAGGCCTAGCCATCTTTGAATACTACAGTCAACACCTGCTGTTGGCAAATTACCTCATGAACCATTGGACGAATGCTCTATAACACACACCCTAAGCACCAACATATCACAAAATGTGGCAGCGGCGGCCATCTTGAATTAATATTCTGACATGAAAGGCAGTGGGAAATAAACATTCCTTTAAAAAAAGCTTTTAACATTTGTTTAATTTTTGTAAGAGCAAGTTAACTTGCCTTTCCTCTTTCTTGTTTTGTGGTAAAACAAGTGGACGGGTATTTTTGAAATTTACTTGAAAAAGATTTTGAAATGCGAGTCCAAATTACCAGTCATCGTTGCTTTACTGGTTGGGACACTTTGGAACTCTTCTCACGTATCCATAAATAAAAAAACAAACATGTATTTTATGCATCTAAATGTTGTTTTTTAGCAACTATCTGTATATTTTTAACACTTGTTTCAACAGGACAACTAACTGACATATGCTACATTATATGTCATAAAAGTACCGTAGCCAAATCTATCAACTGGTGACACTTTTATAGACTCCAGAGGAAGTGAAAGCTTCTTTCTGTGTCACAGATGTTATTTTTCTTGACATGTAACTATTAAAGGCTAAACTATTCATGGATCACACACAAACACCTCACCCACAGGTAGAAGCGAAGGGCGTCCAGGCTGCAGAGGCTGGTCCTGAGCGGGATGACGACAACATTGTAGGAGCCAGAGCCCGAGAGACGGCAGGCCATGGAGAGGAGCTCAGGAGCCGCACACCCCCATCCAGCTGCTCTGAACTACTAACAAACTCCGCCAGCTGTGTCACTAACGCCACCGAGAGCGAACGACTGAAAGCAGGAGAGGAAAAGCAAAAAGCAGAGCGATACACATGCACAGGCAGCGTGGTGCCCCCGGGGCGAGGGAATGAAAAATACCACACGTCCCTGCAACGACTGGCTCATCAACATCCAGCGGGGTGGAGAGATGGACGAGTGCTGGATCGGATAAATAAAAAGAGGAAAAGGTGTGGATAGGAGATCTGAGGCAACTGTTTCCAGCTGCATCGTCGCCAAATATAAATGTTTTCGACTGTATTGTTAGCAAAATATCTCAAACCATTTGGTGTTTTTTTTTTTTTTTTCCTACTGAAACTATCAATAAGTAAATTTTGGTGTCAATTAGATTCAAGATGGCTGCCACAGCAAATCAAATGTGCCCACATAGAGCTAGTTTTTCGTGTGGTAGTACCTGAGCGTGATCCCCAACAAAAAAACGAGTGTTTACAAATTGGATTCAAAAGGGTTTGTCTGTTAGCGAAATATCTCAAGTAGAAATTCATGGATTTTAATGATAATTCTTAAAACATCTTCACTGGACGTACTTCTACATGTGATAACATTTTAGACTCATCCTAATCCAAGATGGCTGCCACCGTCAACTGATCTTATACAAAAATGGCTGTAACTCAGCCAGTTTTATTGCTACTGAGCTAAAATTTGGCAAGGTAGTAGCTGAGGGTCATTCACAACACATACTCAGAGCACTCCATGTGTGAAAATAGCGAGAATGAGCATAATTTTATTTGAAGGCTTGACCAAAACGGCTTTAACTCATTTCTCTGCAGAAGATATGAGCTTAACATGAAACACAGCGAGTGAAATGCATTCTGGGACTTTAATTTATATTGAAGTTTTACTTTAGTTTAAAAAAAAACAAAAACAACAAACCTAATTTTTTTGAGACTCTCATGTTGTTTTTGCAGAATGAAACTAAAGCACGCCTTCTGTCCCGACACGTTCCCTGGAATGTGACAGAACCCGACAAGGACGTGTCGTGCTGCAGAATCGGTTTCTGCAAAAACAAACAAAAAAAAAAACAGCCGAAGCTTCGGTCAGTTTGTTCTGTATTAGCTGCTACCGTAAAACACGCCGAAAGCTGACGGCAGTTTTAGAGACAAAAAAGATGAAAATATTTCAACTGTTACGACTAAAAACACAGAAGAACCATAAAAAGTGAAAAAGAGGTGATTTTTTTTGCCCATGTATGTGTCTGTTAGCAAAATATCTCATAAACAAGTTGACAAATGAATAAAACTCATGATGTACATCTTACAATTTATGAATTTTAAAGTTAACATAAGCCAAAATAGCTGCCACAGCTAATGCTAACTTAGCAAGCACAAAAGTGTTTATAAGTCAGTTGGAGAGAAGTGGAGTTCGGTGTGGTAGTAGCTGAGAGTTGTTCCCAACACATAGCCTGAGTGTTAGCTGATCGTGTTAGCTTTGAGCTTTTAGCTTCATATTTTCTCCTCAGTAGATGATTTTAGTGTAACTTTTTTTTAATTAAAAGAGGTGGAGATGTTTTCACTTCTGTGCTTTCTGCAGAAAAAACATTTGTGAGTAAAAAAATAAAAAAAAAATAAAAAAGTTTCTGACATTATTCTGTTTTCATCCGGTTCATCCGTTGTTGCCGTTTGGATTTTTTTAACATTTAACGTGTTTTGACAAACCCTGGTGCGAAGACCAAGAAAGACTGCAGAGTTTCTGAGCTTGTGATTCACAAGACGGCGCAGAAAAACTTCACCACGAGCGTGCACCGTATGAACCGCGGCGTTGTGAGTTATGCAAAGGGTGCGGTTAATCCGGTTTCACCTGACAGCGCATGTGTAAACACTTCGCACAAATCAGATATTAAACTGCTTCATTCAAATCTATTGAGGAAAAACAACTTAGTGTTTTAACCCTCCTGCTGCCCTTGGGTCAAAACGACCCTTGAGGACTCGGCGTGACCGCGGGTCATTTTGACCCAAGGGCAGCAGGAGGGTGAAATCAGCAAACTTCCTTGTCTTTGAGTTGAAGCTGATGAATCTTCCCAGATGTTTGAAGCTATAGCTAGGTGTGAACTGTCAATCTACATATGCATGTGTGTCTAATCTCACTCAGCCTTATGACCTGAACCCCTCGCTCTCTGCTCTTTGAATTGAGAAAGCTCCTCGGATGAGGAGCGAAACATCTTCTGTTACAAATAAAGCCCAGTTGTTTTTGTATTGAACGTTTTTTGAAGCTGTACCTTCTATCAAACAGCAGGTGGCGCCACGCAATAAGAAGCAAAATCACGTCAACAGGAAGTCAACTATTTGACTGCCTTCACTACACCAGCTAATAAAATATTAATCAAGACAGAACTCTTTGTAGTTGCTGAATTAAATACGTGGCATATATTAAGAAAATAATGTAAAATTGAGTAAAAATATTTTAAACCTTTGCCTTAAGGGTCACAAACTGAAGCCTCGCTTCCTACAGGAAGTCCAATATTGGTGCAAAATAAGAGCTTAACGAGCTAACGGCCTAGCCTGATTACTTGCACAGGCCTCATCCAAAGTGCTACAACTAGCTGCCGCTAACATTTAGTACAAAGTTGATAGCAAGGAGCCACCTGCAACAGGTAAGATATTGATCGTTAAAAACCTTTCCGATGTCAATTTTTATCACCTGTTGCCAAAGATATTTCATGAACCACTGGAAACTCCCAGAAAGTATCATTAGGTTGATGTAGACACCAAACTTCTAGAGTCAACACCAAGTCTGCCACAGCTAATCAACATTAAACATTTCTATAGCGCCAAGTCACAACAGAAGTCGTCTCAAGTCACTGAACAGAAACCTTCATATATAAAAATAATAATTTAGCATTATTTATCTGAGGAGCAGCTTTGAGTTTAACCCCATCACAGAACTCTCATCTTGAGCATGAAGGCGACAGTGGAAAGGAAAAACTCCCTCATGAGGAAGAAACCTTTAGCAGAACCAGGCTCAGGACAAGTGGCCATCTGCTTCGACCGGCTGGGTTTGAGAGGAACAGATACACAATGGCAGGTCAAGAATCACGTTAAGATAGAAATAGTATCAAATGAAAATTATTCAATTTTAACAATTAATTTAAGGAAATGAGGTCAATTTGTCCTCTAGTAGTCTAAGCCTATAGCAGCATAACAATCCAACCCTAACTATAGGATTGATCAAAAACGAATGTCTTAATCCCAGTCTTAAACTGGACAATGTGTCAGTCTCATGGACAGAAACTGGAAGGTGGTTCCACAAGAGAGGAGCCTGATAACTGAACGATCTTCCTCCCATTCTGCTTTTGGAAACTCTAGGAACCACGAGTAAACCTGCAGTCCGACAGCGAAGTGCTCTGTTAGGAACATATGGAACAATAAGATCTCAAATATAAGATGGAGCTAGGTTGTTGAGAGCTTTGTAGGTTAGAAGTAAGATTTTTTATTAAATTCTGGATTTGACAGGGAGCCAGTGGAGAGAAGCTAAAACTGGAGAGATATGATCTCTCCCACTAACTCCAGTTAAGACTCTGGCAGCAGCATTTTGGATCAACTGAAGACATTTTAAAGAAGTATTTGGACACCCAGATAAAAAACCATTGCAATAGTCCAGTCTAGATGTGACAAATGCATGAACCAGTTTTTCAGCATCATTTTTAGATAAAAGATGTTTCTAATCTTTGTGATATTACGCAGGTGGAAGAAGGCAGTTCTAATAGTTTTTAATGTGGGGGATAAAAGACATGTCCTGATCAAAAATAACACCAAGATTTTTAACATTAGAGCAGGAGGACAGATTAATGCCATCTAAGGAGGGAGAAAGACTGAAAAATTTATTCCTAAGATGTTCAGGTCCAAAAACCAAAACCTCAGTTTTGTCTGCATTAAAAAGCAGAAAATTTAGGGTCATCCAGGTTTTTATGTCTTTAAGACATGCTTTTAGTCTAAGTAGCTGATTGGATTCATTGGGTTTCATGACAAATATATATGTATATCATCAGCATAACAATGAAAATTTATCCCATGCTGTTTAATAACGTTACCTAATGGAAGCATATACAAGGTAAAGAGTAGTAGTCCAAGCACTGAACCTTGAGGAACTCCATGACTAACTTTGGTGTATGATGAAGATTCATTATTTACATTTACAAATTGGAATTTATCAGATATGATTTAAACCAATTTAGAGCCGTTCCTGTAATTCCAATATCGTATTCAAGTCTCTGTAGTTAAATATTATGACCAACTGTATCAAATGCAGCACTGAGGTCTAACAGGACCAGTAGTAGCCGAGGCATCCCCAATACAAACTGTGAACATCAACTGATCAGACAGGTTTTGTGTTTAAATCTTTGCCTGTAACTATTGTAGTCAACTCTGTGTCTGTTAGCAAAATATCTCATAGTCTGCTGGATGGATTTTGATGAAACTTTTGGAGTTAAGATGGCTGCCACAGCTAAATGCTCTTAGCACAAAAACGGCTACAGCTGTCCATTTTAGAGATTTTCAGCTAAAACCTCTCTTAAACAGATCTCTTAAAATGCCCCGAGGTTGTGCATGACGTCATGCGCAAGATGACCTTAGTGTATTACTCGTGTGTAAAAGGCGGTGGGCGATATGCATTCCTTCAATGAATACTGGGTCTTTATCGTACGTAAATAATTGATTTAATGTCTCTGCAAGTGCATGAAGCCCCCAACAGTCCATTTGTTGCTAAATGCAAGATCATGATAACGTTACACTGCGGCCCCTCCAAATGAGGAACTTAAACTATCACATAAAAGTGTGAATAAATTCACAACTACACACACGCACGTTTACGACACGCACACTGTAGTGAGACTATCCCTGAAACTGAACCTTTTAGTCACTTCTACTACTTTGTGGTTAACAGGGCCCCCGGCTGCTTCCTGTCTCACTTTATCACGCTTCATCTCGCGCCTATCTGTTTCCTCACCGACACCTTGAACTACTCGAATTAAAACGACCAACAGA